AAAAAAAAAAAAAAAAAAAAAAAAAAAAAAAAAAAAAGTAACAGAAAAAAAAAAAAGGGAGAGAAGGAAAAAAGATAAATAAGTATAATACTTTTCCCCTTGTTATTCGTAAAGATTTATTAGGTTCATTTTGCAAGTTATTTGAAGAAAAAAAATTAGGGTGCTAGTGTAGTATGACAGTTTACGCTGAAAGCAATTTCCATAAAACAGATGTTACATTGACCCCCTAAGAAGGCTGCATTTTCTGGAAGATGAAGGAACATGTTGATGTACAAGTTATCCTGTGAACCCGGGTTCTCACCTTTTAGCTCTCACCATATAAAATTTAAGCTTAAGCCAGAATATGGGACTTTCTGCAGCTGCTCTATGACACCCATTAGTCCTCATATCCCTCTTATACAGCTGTGAAAAAGGCACCTACATTTTTATGTTTACCACACTGAGCATTTAGCTATGACAAAAATGTGTTTATATTGTGCTCTTTTGAAAATTTCTTAACAAAAAAACACTATTTTACAATCTGTTCTGTAATATGAAATAAACAGGTAGATTATATATGCATATATTAAACCGTAGGTGCCTTTCAAAAACAGGGAAAGCCTAAACCATGGTGGAGCAATATAAGCTTCTTACTAAACAGTGTTTTATTTTTGAAAGGTCACAGCATAAAAATTGGAAGCGTGGGTTTGTCAAAATTGGTTGGTTAAAGATGAGTTTAACATTTGTAAGTGATGAGCAATAAGATTTTCAGGATGAGAGAGGAATGCAAAATAATACAAGCCACTTCATGCTGAAAATTAGAAACCCCCCAAAAAAAAAATTCCAGTCTTACGGGCAAGTTGCATACGGAAAACAAAAATGCAAATGTGGTTTGCACATTTGTAGCACAAGTCATGACTGTTTTTGTTTGGGGGGCTTAAACCACAAAAGTAACAGCAAGACTCATAAGAGCTTATTGCGCAGCTCTAAAGCAGCGAATCGTACCCATCGCAGTGCCTCATAGTTCTGTATTGATTTTCTTGACTTTCCGCTGATTTAGAGCTGGATTTGACTGTACAATGTCTTAAAAAATGATCAACTTTACGGTTTGATTAAAGGGCACAGAATAGATTGTCACCTTGGGGGCCATACAATGTTTTCACTTTTCATACTTCTAATCCATGCACCTTAATAATAAACTTGCATGAATTTACCACAGGTTCATAATGGTACCTTTTGTGTCTTTTTTTCTTCCTTTTTTTTTTCTTTACTGAGGTCTTTGATTTACGCTCAGCGAGATGGCGCACCAATGAGCAATTAACTGAAAGTCATTTTTAAGTAAGACTGCACCCATCCATGCCTTAATAAATGAAGAGTACAACTTGAGCAGGCCTTCAGCCAAAAATCCTGATGAACCGAACTATGGCAGCTACGCTGATATATGATGAATTAAAGGGTTAT